ATAAATATTAATATTCAGGCTTATTTTTTATATAAAGTAATATAATATTACTACGACCATTATTTAAATCATTTTCTTATTTATTCATACAATATAATAGACGAATACAAATAGAATATATAAAAAAAGAGAAATTCTAGTAAGACTAAATCTTATTGAGAAAAAAAAATTTTCGACGAAGATTCGATATTATCTAATTTTATTTTGAAAAAATTAAATATAATATTCCGTATTGTTCTTTAAAATATGACGGAATAATATCATCCCAATAGAATGACTAATATCTATTTATAGATGTACAGATTAATAAGTGTATTTAAATTCATTTAATTATTCATCTCATATAGAATAGATGATAATCGTAGAATAGAAAGAAAAATAATAGTTGGCGCCAGCAGCATTTAGCTGCCAAAAGACTGGTGCTACAGCACCCTAGCGTACAGNNAAATCTGGCCCGTGGGCCTCTCTCCCGTGGGAGGATCCTCCACCAACGAGCTTAGCGCCGACGGCGGGGTGGTGGTGGCGAGCCGAAAACTAGAGTTCAAAACGTCGGCATGAGAAATGCGCGTGCTGGCACTACACTGCGTTCCGGTCTGCACTGGGGGTATTCTCAGAATACCGACGACTTTTCCCAGAGGAGCTGGAAGGTAGTCACGGTTGGCGCCAGCCGCATTTAGCTGCCAAAAGAGTGGTGCTACAGCACCCTAGCGTACAGCGCCAAAAATCTGGCCCGTGGGCCTCTCTCCCTTGGGAGGATCCTCCAGCAACGAGCTTAGCGCCAACCTCCCATGCCAACTGTCCCGATTAGGTACAGCAACCTGGCACAGCCACCCGCCAAACTGACGCCAGCGAAGCCTGCAGGGCGGCTGCGGGAGGGGGAAGGCAAAGCTGCACCAACGTTGCTCTGGCATCGTCAATATAGACCCGGGCGGTTTGAGAGTCTTTCCAGCGGCCCTGTATCATAATACGGCCCAAGCTTTGAATGCGCTGGTAGAACTCCGTTGCTCCCCCTCTCCTAAGGGAGTAGGGCAAGAAACTTGATGGAGCAAGCCCAATGCAACGGACCAGGCTGGCAAACTCCCGGCGAAAGGTTGGCACTGAGGCCTCGTAAAGAAGAGAACTCGGGCGTACCCGGAGCAACAGAAAAGAAAGGATGGCCACCAAACCGGGCTCCTTGAGGGAAAGAGACTGCTGCAGACCGTTGGAAGTCTTCGAATTAATAATGGCAATGACCACGGTGCCCTGTTCCTCAAACAAGCGAATGTGGTTCACCTGCAGCGACAGGAGTTCCATGGTGCGCAAAAAGAAGGCGAAGCCCAAGAAGATGATTAAGGAGAGGTCAGGTCGACCAACCAAAGGCTGCCCCTGCCATGGCGCGAGCCCCCAACCATGTCATGGGGTTGGTCCTTTGGGGCAAATGCACCCTTTGCCAGTTACGCAGAAAGAGTTGAGACGTGAGGAGGTGTGGCCGGCATCGTGGAAAGAAGCGCTTCAACCCACTAACCGTCCAACCCGCTTGGGATACTACATCACCCTCCTGGTAGAGATGATTTATGTATTCCGCGAGCTCCTCATCAAGCTTTCCATTATAGAAGGCAACCTGCCCCATAGGGTGCGAAAATATTGAAAGAAAGCCGCTACCGCATTTTCATAAGACCGTCCGGTTCTTCGCGTGATCCCCAAAAACCGCAAGTAATCATTTCGGTTCGTATTTCCGCGAGGCGCCATCGCTAAAGTTCCACTTGCTGATAGTCCACAGGGTCATGGGGATCAAACCAGACGCCAGTGAGAGGCTGGCAATGCGGCGGCTGACACGGTTGAGACGCTTGGAAGAGGACCTCCCTTTTCCCAACACGTAGAAAGAGACGAGGGAGTCGATGACACAGAAGAAGCGCTTCCCCAGAGCATCGACGTTGCGGGCTCGCCTTCTGAGCTCCGTGAGGAAGGCCGTCATTTCGAGCACATTTATGTGCTGTGGTTCCCGCCACTGGTAGGAAAGGACGTCCTTCCAGTGCCAGCGGAACGCCGGGTAGGGTCCCGGTCTGTGACCCACAATGTCATCACCACGGTCGGTCAGTCTGACGTCGCAGCCTGTGTGGTAGGCGTGCTGGAGGAGCCACTCCAGGTGCAGCTTCTCCTCACCCCCGTTCATTGTCTCCAAGAAGGTGGCACACTGGTTCACAGCCCAGATGACCGCCTCTTCTTGCTGCAAGCCACGCGTCGCTCCCTGCAACTGGTGCTTCAGCAGCCTGTCCAGGTTAAGTGGCAGGGAGCCAAAAGGCTCAGAGTACAGTGAGTTGAGCTCGTCGTAGATTCCCTCCGCCATCACCAGGCACAGACGCCAGGGGTACTCTGAATCCTCATCCTCATTGCCGAGGTCTGGGTCCTCAAGGTCATCGTGCCCTTCACACTGTGGGTTGTGAAGGACGGCGTGCAGGGAATCCGAGTTGTGGAGCACTCCTACCCAGCATTCTCTGGTGCCTCCATGGCAGCAGGTAGAAAACACTGACCAGTGCCACCCTTCTCCGTAGAGAGACTTGACCTCCGGTAGGTCCCACAGGTAGGAGTTGTACGGGGTGCTCGAGGGATGCGAACCGGCCTCTCCGCTTGGCTTCCGCTAGGCCGCGTGCAGCTCGCTTCGCCAAAGCGTTAGCTTGTCTCACTGCCACGTTGAGGTGCTGCTTCAGCTTAGGCAAACCTTCCGGGTGGTGTCGGTCTCGGAGCTGAGGTGCCCCTTCGACCCACCTCCCCGAGCGATCCCAGTACGCAGTGCTCCGGTCCTTCATAAAGGGGACCAGTGTGTCCACATGAGGTTCGTCATCCAGGCGGGCCTTTCCTGCTTCAGTCTTGAAGTCCCACCGGTCGCCCGGGACCTCATAGTCCAGCGGAGGTTGGGTGGCGATCCCTCTCCAAACTCGGGTACATGCCACCACTTCCTTGAGCAACCGTCCCCGTGGTCCCGTGCGCACGCCAAGGAGCACATACGAAGGCCACATTTGCGGGGGCACGGGTACGTCCTCACACTGACCTCCGCGAGCTCTTTCTGGCAGCAGTCAGAGAAGTTGAGGTCCTCAACGGGGTCCGGGAGGAGCAGCGTTTTCTCTTTGAAAGCAGTAGCCACCGAACATCCCCCTCCCGTAGGAGATGCGTCGGTGCAGCTCACCTCGGGAGAGATCTCGGAAGAGAGGTCCGTTTCGGCCAGGGCCAGGAGCCCACTGAAGACCACGACCTCATCGACCACGCAGGTCGGTAGTGCAAGGTGCGCACCATCACGGCTGGTTTCCAGCACTCCATAAACCTCCTGGAGGATAGAGTACATGGGCCTCCTGAAGGCAGCTGCGAAGGCCGCCTTGCCTGTCCAGTGTCTCAGGAAGCACTCGGGCATGGTGCCATTGACTAGCAGACCAAGCCCGAGACTGAGAAGCTCTACGGTCTTTTCATAGGCGTGCCGAAGGACCTTTTCCTGTCCAAGAACTTCACCTCCTTGGAGGGTTCCGGAAAGGGCACCGCAGAGCTGCTTCCCCTCATTCCTTGGGAGCCCCAAGGAGATACAGGCCTCGATGAACTTCCCGTGGTTCTCCGAGACCTGGCCTTTCACCTCGGCCTCCTCCCCGGCGATCTCCTTTTTGAGGTGCCTAATCTCATCGAAGTTGTCAAGGTAGAGGATGGTCTTGGACGAAGCGTCGGGGAGAGGCTGGTCCATGGTAACGTCCCCGGACGAATCTTTGCAATTGTGTACGCGATGTGGCGGATCGCAACTTGTATCAGCGTCACAGCGGAGGTCCAGCCCATTGGGACAACCCGCAAAGCAGGGCGCACCATGGTGCGTGCATCTCCCCCTAAAGCGTCTCCTCTCACCTTCTGCGCAAAGCTGAAGAGGGGGCCCACTCGAGCGGCATTCGGAAAAGATTGAAGGCACTCTGAAGGTCCTCTGAGTCTAGGACCAGGTAAGAGTCCTTTTCCGCCATGAGTGCAGTGAGCTGCCCTATGTAAGGGAGCTTGTCCTGGGCTCCGGGTAAAAGCCTCATTGCATCATTGGTGGGGCAAAGCACTGAGATGAAGCGTTGCGCCTCGACTGCCCGCCCGTGCTCTTGCTTTATCTTGACCACGGCGCCGGCCCCATTGGTAATGAGGTGCCCCCCCTTGTCAACTGGCACGTCTTCATCTCTAACCGCCACGAACATCCCTCGGTCGTAACCGGCTTTGACGATTTTGTGCCACTCTGTCTCGGTGGCTCTGACCCGTGATCCTCGGTGCCTATCAGGAAGCTCGGCCTCAGGGAGAAGGAACTCCCTTGGCCGGTCCAGGGCCTCCCTGAGCTCTTCTGGAAGGCAATCCCGGAGGTCCACCACGGCCGCCGAGCCCGGGCGAGGCCAGGCCTTGAGTACTTTCTCCACCACCAAATCCTTCATGCGGTCAACAGGGTGGCCGTTGTAGTCGAACTTCTTGGAGGAGAGCTTGGCAACGGCCGCCTTGGCGGAGAGGATCTTCTCCGGGCGTGCTCTCAGCCGATCGACTTGCGAGGCTACGCGAGAGATGGCCTTTGCCTGATTGGCTCCCATAGTGGACGACATTGGGACACAGATCGCCTTAGACCAAGCCGAGCAGTACACGTAGTCTAGCAACAAGAAAATCAGACGGACCCAGTGGAGGTTGATGGTGGTGATCCCCTCCAGACCCTGGACTATAAGCCCAGGGTGGACGGGAAGCAGGTCGCCGTGGGTCCTCGGTCCTTTTTAAAGAGGTGGGCTCGTCGCCCGGAGGCAGCTCCTCTGGGTTCCCGTAGGTACGTGCAAAGATGCCCAGGGGTCCTTAAGGCCAACACGGCGTCGAGAAGGAGCTTGCCAACTCCTTTCATCCCAGGCTCCCTATCCATTCCCTTCTTGAGCTTTGTCCGCCACTCCTCCATAGGCAGGCCCTTTGCGATGCCCGCCCAGAACTCGTTGAGATCCTTCCCCGTAGGGAGCCCTTCGTCATCACTAAGACCAAGGTCGAAATCGAGGAAGCCATCCTCCAGCATATTGTCCAGGCTGGGGTCTTCTCCCTCAGCTCGCGCGGCTCCTTCCTTGACATCGGTTCCCACGGCCGTGGCCGGACCTTCGCTCACGGGGGGGGGGGCGGTCTCTTTGCCTTTCCCGTGCTTGCCTTTCTTCTGGTCCTTCCCGCCTGGCTGCTCCGTCTTGCCGCCGCCCTTGTCGCCGCCCTTCGGGTCGGCCTTGCCTGTCCCCTTTATCTGGAGACGCCTCATTCTGAGCTCTCCTGCCCACTCCTTCGAGACCATCACCGCGTCGTCGCGGCCCAATAGGCTGGGACCTTCCGCGTCCAGCAGCTCGAGGTACTGGGCCCTGTTCCACGACCCGTCGCTCTGGAACAGCTCCAAAGCTTTGATCCTTTGAGACAGGACGTCCGCGGCGTACTGGTAGTGACCGGCTGCGATCTCGTCGAGAGCCGTCGCCAGGGTGCGAACCTTGCGTAGGAGACGCAGCGGAGGCTGCTTCGGGCTCATTACCGTCAGCACCCAGGTGGTGGCCACGGGCGGTGTCGAACTTCCCCGGTTGATCGTCGTTAACGGCCCCCCCTCCTTCTTCGCGACCATCACCCGCATCTTTTGCAGAAGTCTGGAAGCCAGCCGCCCCGGTCTCCTCTGGGCGTATTCTTGCAGCTGAAGCTGCAGGCTGGTTCCTCCGGAGAGGAGGCCCTCGCGAAAAAGCTGGCTCTCATCCAACGAGCTGTCTGAGCCGCGCTTCCCATCGCCATAGCCCATCTCGGCACCAGCCCCAAAGGGGCCACGGTCCTTCGCCTTCCTGCCCAATTCCTTCTCCGACTTTTTCTTCTTTTTCCTCCTGGACGAAGAGCTTGGGCTTGACCCGGTCGAGCTGCTTCGGACCACCTCGGCGTCCGGCCCGGGCTGCCCAAACCAGTCTCCATGGCCAACGCCTGCTGGCGCGCTCGAAGCTCGCCCTTGGGCGGCCTGATCTAGTTCTTTTCTCCTTTTCTTCTTCACCTTCTTCTTTCTCTCTTTCTTTTTCACTTCATCCCGGTTCTCCCTCTTGGGGGGCCGGGATTAATCATGAGATCCGTGCCTCTTACGGGCGCATCCATCTTTTCCGATCTCCTTCTCTAGCCGAGCAAGGCTCTGGAGCGCGGGGTCCCTTTCGGAAGGCTCGGGCACCGGGAGGCCTTCATCTCCGAATCCCAGGCCGGCCCCGCCTCCTGGTGCGGTGTCCGCGTCCTTCCCCGTAGGGAGGTTGGAAAGCCTCTTAAGCTCATTGTCCACATCCTTCTTCGAGTGGCTGGTCTTTAACCACTCTATCCTCTTCTCATTTAAGTCGGCCAGCGTAACCACTCTGAAGCGGTCAGTGTGGAAGTCCATCCCACGTCCCCGGTGGGTTTGTTTGCACCCTCTCTGCGAGGAGGCACAAAAATGCACCTCGAATTGCCTCGCTTTGGCCGGGGCCGTCGGTTAGCCACCACCTGAGGTGGTCATCGCTCACAGCGATAAAGGTGGCTTCGGCCCACTGTCCATTGCGAGATTTCTCGCCCAGTCGGTCAAGCCGACAAAGTATTGTTCCTTGCCTGCAGTGGGACGTGTCATAGCACTGCAGCTCGACGTAGTCCCCCTCATGCAGGACAGTTCCTTTCCAGCCGTCAGGGTCGCTTCCGACGGCGACCCATGGCCCTGGCATAATGGCTCGAGCTGGAAGGGCTCGAGCCGAAAACTAGAGTACAAAACGTCGGCATGAGAAATGCGCGTGCTGGCACTACACTGCGTTCCGCTCTGCACTGGGTGTAATTCATCTCATATAGAATAGATGGTAATCGTAGAATAGAAAGAAAAGTAATTATAAGAATCAATCCAAAATTTGTCCCATTGCTGGATAGAAATTCTTGTAAGCCAATGTTTATGCCACTCACCCGAGAACCTCCATGATCCAAGCTGCGCCTAAAGAGGACCACGACACGATAACAAGATAACCATCACTTCCAGACACTGCGTCAGTCACAGCAGCCCGGAGCAAGGCCACGCACTCCCCCCGCCGAACCCCGCTCGGCTGATGATGCGCACCCTTTGCGGGCTTCCGTAACCCATTCAAAAATGGGCAAAACATCGCCTCGCGCTGCCTGGGCCGCTGCGGGCACGCCGGGTGCTCGTGCCCGTATGGGGTAGCCCATGCCATGCCGTGGGGAATGGCAGCAAAACACGTGCGTTGCCGGGTGAGCCTCCAAACGAGGTCCTGCGCGCATGGAAAAACCAGGTCCGATGAAGCGCGGTCGGCGGCGCGCCTCTTGCTACAGCAAAGCTTGCAAGCTGCAGCTCGCCTGAGGCTCGGACTTACGGGGCGCATGCGCTCGGGGACCGAGCGCTGCCCGATTTCATTGACGCGCACTCAGTCCCAGCCGACGCGGACCACATCAATCTTAACGTTTATTAGGGGAGAACGCTGCTCAGCGCTCCGAAATCCTGCCAAGCATGGGGAACAGAAATCTGTTCCAAAGCTGGAACCAGCAGAACTGGGCTATGATATTGCAATAAAATTATGAACGCAACGTACCTGAAATGTCGATACTCAAGTGCATAGAACTCAGGTTCCAAAAAATGCTCGCTTTGCAGTCCGCCTTTTTGAGGAGCTAAAGAATAGGAGCTAGTTTCATTCAGCAGCCGCACGTCGAGCAAGAGCTCGCGCGAGCTTCTCCTTCAGCCACGGTGCTGCAGGCGTGCTGCTGCTTCGATGTAGGAACTTCCCAACATCCTGCGCGCTTGGGAACGTGACGGATCCAGTCCTCGAGCTTTGCGATCTGCTCGCGGATCACGTCGGGACTCGGTTTTTACTTTGCTAGGAAGGTAGGCTTGCATCAGAGTGGATTGAACAGCACAGCCAACAAGCACCTTAGGTCAGTACTCTTCATCGCTTTCTTCGTTGGCAAATCCCTCCTGGTACTCAGCAACTGACGAAGGATAAAGATGTGTGTATATATGCATGTATGTATGAACCGATGACGGTATGCATGTATGTATGTATGTATGTACGTACAAACCATCATACCGACACAAACACATAGCCAAGCAGGTACGGACATACACACGTGCATACATACATAAATAAGCAAAAGCATCCTTGCTTACATCCGTAACAGCAGCTGCCACTGCGACAATGATACCAAACGTCGCAATTCGTGCTGCTTGTACGCTATCTTCTAGCCTTTTACGTAAGTAGTTTACTTAGGCGGGGCCGTCGTAGAGCTCCTGTCGCCGTGGTCCTGTTGTACAAACCTTTCCAAAGGGAGCGTTTCTGTCGATGCCCATATAAATTTAGCTTGTACTCTCAAGCTGTAACTTGTAGTTGCCAAAAGGTCGGCCTCCTCCGCCTGATAAACCTCCTCCTCAGCCTCGGGATGCTCCTGCAAAGGTGCAGCAAGCTGAGGGACAGTGGAAGCACGTTCGCGTGCTTCTGTGCCGCGCATCAGAGGTTCCACAGCTCCGCTTGCCTGCTCGTGCTGGAACTCCTCCTGGCTCGGGTGCTCCCCATCTTGCTCAACCTCTTGCTCCTCCTCTTGCTCTTGTTCCTCCTGCTTCCAGTCAGGGTCGTATGCGGTTCAGGCAGATTGGGTGTTGAGCCTCCTCTTGGTCCTGCTCTTGGGAATCGAGGCTCTGAAGCCTGCATAGGCAGATACAGGAGTTACCTCCCCTAGTTCGCTACTGTAGCCCAAGCCTTGACCACATCATAGCATGGGCCAAGTAGACGCTCACCAGTGTGCCTCATAAGACCAATCTAGTCTGAAACTCAGACTTTGCATGCGCCGGAATCTTCAAGAAGCAGCTACAAAAAGGCTGCTCAGGCGGATGCCTACGAGTGTCATCGTCCTGCAGTGGTGATGCTCCAGTGAACTACCGAGACCGTGTTTGAGCTACACCCCATCCCTCCTGAAGTCTCCGCTCCGTTCGCTCGACTTCTCGATTTCAATCTGAGCACCGGAAGCCTCAGCGAGATCCTATAGAGACCGCCTCTGAACGGCTGGCAGCGGATTTCCGGCCTGTTCAACTTGCCGTATGACCTCACCTCCAGTGCCCACGAGCGCTCCAACCTGGGTGTTTCTAAAGAACATCAACCTGCATTGAAACAGGAAGTCATCAAGAACTCTAGGGCTTGGGCACGCAAGGCTGGGACTTCACAGCAAACGGAATACCTGCCAGGAGGTTCACGACACTCTCGCTCTGCTTTTTGAACAACACTGGGCGACGTGCGACATATCGACTGTTCCATCCGGGAAACTCTCCAGCTCATTGGCCTAAGGACAAGACGATGAACTTCGGGTTCATACATAACTTGAGAAGAGGGCCACGAAAGCTAAGGCAAACAAAGGAAGATAGAGCTCGGTCGGCATTGCATGCATGCTCGGCAGGCAGACGCAAGCACATATGTAGTGTCTGTAATATTCTGTAATGCCATGAAGCTTGAAACCTACAAGATGATAGTATTCTTCTGCAGAACGCTGCACACATACATTTACACTCTTGTCGTAGTACCTTGACCGACCTCATTGCGCTCCGAACGTCCCTGCATAAGCAACAACTCGGCGGTGGCAGCTTAGCTTATTGCAGGAAGCATCAGACTTGAAACTTGCCAGCGCAAAGACAAAATGCAACTTGCTACGTTGCTTAAACAGATGGACCTCAAGTTGAGGACCGGAGGTGGGAGGGACCTTATTGCTCCCCTCGCCTCCCATAAGGTCCTGGGCGCGATCACTACTACTCAAGAGACGACATCTCCTGCAAGCTCCACAGGGATAGCTTTCGTGACAGTGGACCCCAAAACGGATGGACCTGCGACTGAGCCTTCGGCCAAGGAGTCTACCTCCTGCAAAACACAGCATGGTACATGCTACGCCGGTCTTTCTCCATGTCTGCCAAGTGTTCATCGCATCATAAAGTCTGGCTTCAGCTCATGGCCCAATTTCAAAGCTCAGAGCACGACGGAGCCTCTCTAGCTTGCCCATTCTCTGCAGTCTCCACCGGCCGTCCTGCTCGAAACTAGTAACGTTGCAGGGCAATTTTCCGAATCACAAAGAAGGCCGAGGTTGGAGCCTTTGGCAGGTGGTAGTATCACCGCAGGTGGGGGCGGTGGCACTATGCTCTTGAGCGCGCCCTCTAAACTTTGACCTTACATCGCATGCGGCAACATGGTAAACCGAATCTATTCTCAACAAGTTTTGGCTGCATCACACGCGATCAATATCGGCGTCCTAAGGCGTGCGCCAACCTTCTGAGAGGCCTGGCGGAGAAGCGACTTCTGCTCTGCAGCTGTTGGAATGCATGTGAGCATGTGGCTTGACATCTGCAAGAAAAGTCTTGCCTTTGGCAACGCCTTAAGCGTCGATGCTCGGGAACCTTTCCCGGCCTGCCGACAGAATGCCCATGTCAGATGAGATGAGCTGCAAGCGACTGTGCCTTCTACAGGACCTAGTTAGATGAGATGACAAAATCTGAGGGCACTGCAGGATTGGCTGCAGGCGGCGCAACCCCTGCAGGGATCATGCTGCTTTTGGGCGAGGTGACTCGTGTCTCGGTATGGGAATCACACGTCGAGGGCCCGGTGGCTTGTCGAGGTCCTGGAAATAGAAGCAAATTTTTCAGTGGAGCCAATCTTGAACGCCAAAGCTCCACACACAAGTGGCCGGACAATCCTTGGGCTCAGGAGGGGGCTCCCAGCCGCGCTGCACGGCCTGTGAACTGCGTCGTGAAGCCCAGTGTCTCCGAAAGCTCACACCACTGGCCCTGAAGCTGCACCCGGCCTCGCCAAAGTTGACAACGCGGGAGAAGCCATGGTAAAACTCCTCCTTCAAGAATCTTCAACGAAACTTCGAAGCTGCAGCTGTGGCGTGATTGTGCTCCTCGAACTCGCTCTCGCATTGCACAAATCTTGGAGAATGGATGCTATGGCGATGGATGCACCAAGGTAGCTTCACACCACCACGAAACGCAACATGCTTACAGTGCAGGCTGAGGCCGCAGCTCGTTGATGTGCCGCAGTGCTGCGAAGATGGACTGGGGCCTCAGCAGGGTACCGATGTTACCTTGCATGTGCTGTTCAGTAACATTAGTCAAGTCCTCTAAGCATCCCACGTGCCGATGACTTTGCCTTGCAGACATAGCCAGTGTGATCCAAACGTCTGCTTCTTTACATGCGGCTCCAAAACAGGCATGTGCATCCTACATCTCCATTGCATCTTCAGAATTGCAACGCCGCAAGACCTGTACAGCCTATACACGAATGGCCCATCTCGGCATGAAGCTGTCAGCACAGCCCTGTTAACCCTCTGTCAGCAGGCGCTGCTCCTGCCTGCACGATGTCCCAAGACGCTTTCATTCTCGACGAACACCTGCAATATGCACGTTTTGACATGATTTTAACACAACCTTATACGGGCCTGGGCATTTGAATTCTTGGTTGCAGGGCAGGATAGCAAGTACAGCTGAAAAGTTCTCGGCCAACCAGATTCTACACTAATGTGCAGTGTGCTACAAAACTACATGCTCTCTGCGCTGCATGTCCATCATGAAAATTGTGCTTCGGGGCCTTGGCTCCCGAATCTTGGCGGATGAACTTGATGTTCTTTCCTTGCGCACCAACCTGAATGCTAACACAAATTAACACGGGGACCGCGATACACAGTCAATGCCGTCACACTCCGGCAAACACATGTCCGTTGTTCAATCTTGTTCAACAGCTTGCAAAATCACCAACACACGCTTCGATTGTCGTCGTAGCAATACAAGTGCTACTGCCAACGCTGTCACTGTTGCGAGCACTACTACTACCACTATCACTACTACTATTACTACTACTACTACTACTACTACTACTACTTCTGGTATTGTTATTATCATCATGGTTACGACAACGGCAACTACCAACATGATCTTGCAAAGGAGCAACCACTCTCATTAGTAGTAGTAGTAGTAGTACTAGTAGTAGGAGTAGGAGTACGAGTAGGAGCAGGCGCAGGAGCAGTAGTAGTAGTAGTAGTAGTAGTAGTGATAGTAGTAGTAGAGGCAGTAGCAGTAGCAGTAACCCTTGAAGCAGCAGCAGCAGGACTAGTAGCATTAGCCATCGTCATCGTAGCAATAGTAACAATAGTCTTAGATAATTTTAACCGCCTCGTCCTCCTCGTCTTGTAGTCGTCGTAACGGCAGTAGTAATAGGAAGTACCTGCTGCTTTTGTCATCGCCATTATCGCCGTGGCAATAGCCGTAGTCGTATAGTAGTCAAAGCTAGCTGCCGCAGTCGCAGTTAATGGTGAGTGAAAATCCCAAGGCTAACTGCAGGTGTTCGTTGTAAACATGCCGTCATGCGCTTGCGTCTGGTTTAACAAATCGGACTCGGTGTTCATGCTTTCTTCGACATGTTGATCTCAAACTGCCTTTGAATCGGGAGAAGGAACGAAATCGTTTTGGGACTTGGTTGATTTGGTTTGCGCTTGTTGCTGCTCTTTCCGATTCGCGGTCCGTGAACTTGCCACTGGAATCGTTATATACGGCGTATTGAAATCTCACAAGTTTGCATTTTCCGGGGTCACTGTGCAATTGCTGCATCATTGTTTGCGGCGTTTGACATGGTTCCGACAAGTGACGAACTCCTCTACTTCTTTCAGTTCTTTTGAGTACGCACCCCGGCTTGAAGTTATCCTAGCACTTGCATAAAACCACTGGCAATCATACGATTATTCGTGGCTTTTCATATGGTATTCTGGTGATGAAGATCATCACTCGTATCGGATCGCAACCTGATGATGAGCATCATCATGGCTGTTTGTTCAGCTTGTGATGTGAATGGGTGAATATCGGATATGTTTATACGGCCATAGCCGCTAAGTGCTTATCAATGTTCATTGTGAACATGTTTACGGCTATCTCGCTCATGTAACACGACGGTGAAGGCGACTGCTGATGATGATGATGATGACCAGGATGACCGGGCCATTAACAGAACTTTTCGCAACGTAACCCGTGTGGTTTTGAAGACAAGATCGGGCAGGAGGGTTGCTGGAGAACATGCTTGCAAACTTGTCAACCTTCCTTCCAGCAATAGCACAGTCTCCGCGAGCCCAGGGACCAAGCCATGTTGGAAATGAAATCGAAGGAAAACTTGCGTCTTACATGAAGCCGGTGTAGCAGGATGCCAAGTTCAACACAATCCTTGTCAAATGGAAAGCCCTGAAGCCCTGACTGACATATTGCAGAAAGTAGCGTGTTCGCAGCATGTTCAAACCGAGCACACATGTACAGACAGCCTCCACATAACGCAACAACGTTACACGTCAAGAGCACGTAGTGATGTCAGGGAAAGCAACAGCTACCCGCAAGTTCCAAACGCGACACGATAGCGACCACACTCTCCGCCGAGTTCTGGTCCGAAGGGCGACTTACATTCCGTTCGGAACAGCCGTAGCATCAAGTCACAAATACAGTACCGAACTTCGCACCTTGTGAAGCTTCCGCTGCCAAGACGAGTACCAAGACGACCTTGTTTGCGAGCTTTCGTCTTTCACTCGAACCCGCGCCTCCGCCTCGCAAATCTTTTGGCCGGCTGTTTCAAAGCTCGGAGCCTGAAAGGGCCCTCCAAGCGAGTTGTTTCGCTGGTATGGCCGGTCCAGCAAGCAGCTGAAAGCCTCTCCAGGCCACTTGGCGAGTTCATCCCACATATCTGAATCAAACCATTCGCAGGGAGCTTGTTCGGCCTGTTGGAGGCTGGAGGCCGACGGAACTGAAAGCTTTCGCGAGCCATTGGAACACAGTTCGTTCGACCAGCTTGAAGGGCACCTCCTCTGCTCCAGCTTCTCGCTGTCGGCCTTGTTTTTTTTTGCTATGGCCTTGCCTCTTGCCTTGCCTTTTCGCGTCTGGCTAAATCCTGCAGCGGCTTCCTCTCTTCGTCGTGCGTACACATCAACAGCAGCAACGGCCCAGGCCGCCAAGGCCAACAACAACCGACCAAGCCACGCCAAGCCCAAGCGCCATACAGACTGAAAGCCTCAGCCCGGCTCAGCCCCGCGCCTCCCGGAGCCGCTCGAGCCCGGGGGCCGGACATTGACTCCTAACTACGCGGACGCCGAGATCATTGCACCCAGGTGCGGTGCGACGTTCAGCACCGAGCCAACAGCCGGCGGGACCCAAGCACCCATACGGGAATCCCCAGCAACACTCGGCAACCTGACGCCGGTTCAGGCCGCCTGACCCAGTGTTTGCAGCGTTGCCTCCACCAACCCCGATTATCAGCAAACATGTGTGGAACCAGAGACCGATTAGTTGGTCAGCAAACATGTGTGGAGCCCGGGGACGATCAGCGTTGATCAGCACGTGTGTGTGTGTGCGCAACCAGGGGGAGGATTGGTTGTTAGTTGATCTGAGTGCTATATCTTTCTGGAGCACACTTCTCGAGGCGAGGCACGTTGCTGGCGTTGCACCCAATATCGGGGCACGTGGCCATTAATAACTTTTCCTCCCTATCGCCCAGTGTCTTGGCGACGAAGCTCGTGGATGTGGGAGAACTCTGGTCCAGAGTGGGGGCTTGCGCGCGGCAACCAGTTCTATGCTTGCGAATTGCTTCATGCTTCGTTGGACCCATTAGCTGGGGGTCAGGCAGTGACCGCCCGGCCCGCGCAGTGACGAACTGGCGCATGAAGGCACCGGATGCATCGGTGAGAAATTGTCAGGGCAAAGTTCTTCGGTCGAGGCAGCATCCGTCCTTTGCTGCCAGCAGTTTTGAGGTGACAATGAGCGTAAACAGATTGTCTCCTCGCAACCACCGGCTTGGTATGTGTGATTCGTCTTTGGCTGATGTTGGGATTTTGTTGAGTCTGCCTTGTTCTTGCTCCGTCGCTGCCAAGCGCTGCGTACGAAAGATGTCGGTTGCCTGAACGCACGCGGCCTCATGCTACGCGTCCTAAGAGTAGGTTGTAGTTGGGTTGATTGTGCTACTGAGGACAACAACAGCCTGGCGCGACCTCACAGCATGCTCGATGTGGGAAATGTCGTCGCGGTGCTTCGAGCTTTCACGGGCTTTCGCTTCAGATGATAGATTGGGCACGGATGTGCCGAGCCAGGTGTCGAGCGCCCTACTACGACATTGCCTTGCGCCAAAGGTCCTGCCGCTGGGGTCTTCCTCACGGCGAAGGCCTCTTGCCTTTTCTGTCCAATCGGCAGGCAAGCGGTCTGCGACTGTCAGGTTTTGTGAACTTTCACGAAAAGCAACCTTGTAACGCCGGCGTCCACCTGTACTTCCCGGCTGTTTGTCTGCTCAGTCGTTCCTCAGTCAGTCTTACACACATTTGCTGATCGATGACCAACTAGTCGCGGTCACTGTCGGCGGACGGCTGCTGACACTGTTTTTGGACCGCCGAGTGGTGCGTGCGCGCTACTGTGTGCACCCGCACCTCACTGTCCTTAGAAGCATGCTTCACGCAAGGTCCTGACACACTTCATGTGCAAGGTTTCGCGTTTAGGTTGGATGCCAGCACTGAGGCTACTACAGTGAATCAGACGGCTGGAGGCTGGAAGCTAACGGTGATGCCGGTGCACCGGATGCCTGAACAGGCGGGTGGGATCACTCCCTCCAATCAAGTACCACGCACGCCGGTCGCGGAGTCTGCCTCCATTGCAAGCCTTGGCTGGGTGCTCTGCGCAATTCTCGATGTCACGGCTGTCCTCAGCTTTCCACACGCATGCATCTGATCCTCCGGACCCCTGGCCGGATTCCGGGTGACAAACAAGGCTCGCGCCTGCGGTTTGTCTGAGCCGAAGGCCTCCGATTTTGCGGCGCCCGCCATGACAAACAGCGCCGGAGTCTGAGCACACCGAGCTGCAGGCGGTGAGAAGCAAAACCGAAATTCTGTCTCAGCACTACCCGGAAACGTCTCGGCCCTGACCTCTTCTTACGTACGATGTTGCCTCGCACTCAGCACTGAGAACTTGAAGCGCGCACGGCTGTGACCGATCCAATGGTTGTAATTGCGAAAGACCTCTAACCGAACTGCCGAGCTACAGGAACGAAGCTGCAAGTTTGCGTGTGGAACCGATGCGACCACTACGCGAGTGGTCCGCTTGGCACCTCATGTCAGCACCGTGAAGAGCAGCCAATCCGTACTCCTACAAGCCATTGAGAGCTCAATGAAAAGCCGAATTCTTGACTGGGCACCATGGACCACTCCAATGGAAGTAAATCCTGCGAGCCTTCGTAGTGGACATGTTAAAAGATCTATACGGCTGCATAATGCCAAAATCCACCTCTGAGTCTTCGTCCTAAAGGCGACAATAAAACCAAAAACACGTAACGCGAAAGTCCACATCCGTGTCTTCGTCTTGGAGCGGTGGCGCAATGATAGACTGCTGCGCCAAAGATGAAGAGACTTTGTCTGGTCGTCGGCCATGCGGCTCGGACTGTTGGGCTAGGCTGTGTTCCTTTGAATCTTCGTCTTGGACACTCTAGTAGGCGCGAAGGTCCACCTAGGGTCGCTGTCGTCTTGGACAAGCCAAAAAAAAACCAAGGCTGCGTAACGCGAAAGTCCACCTCTGAGTCTCCGTCGTGCTGGACACCTTAATATAACTAGAAGCGCGTAACGCGAAAGTCCACCTCTGCGTCTTCGTCTCGGACACTCTGCTAGAAATAAAGGCATGAAGCACGAAAGCTTACATTTGAGCCTTCGTTCGGGAGACACCGCTTATAGAACTGAAGGCGCGTGACGCGAAAATTTACCTTTGAGCCTTAATCTTGGACAGGCTGACTGCGCTGAGGCTGCGTAACGCGAAAGTCCACCTCTGAATCTCCGTCGCCTTCTTGGACATGCCAATAGAACTAAAACGCGAAAGTCCACTTCTGAGTCTCCGTCGTCGCGCGCCAGTTCGGTAGTGCCTACTGCCCGTTCCTTACTACTCCTAAGTAAAACGTGCCCCCAAGCCATAGACACTACGATAATCATGTTAAGTATTGCCCACTGCCCGTTCCCAGCTTCTCGTACATAAAACCTGCCCAACCGCCATAGAAAGTTCCCGACTACTGGTAAATAAAACTTGCCCAGAAGCCATACAAAGTAAGATCATCATGCTAAGTATTGCCTATTGCCCGTTCCCTCCAACTCGGAAATAAAACTTGCCCAGAAGCCATAGGAAATAGTATCATCATGTTAAGTTGCTTACAATCCCTTCCGTCCTACGTAGACTGAAGCCATCAATCCATTGTGTGCCGAGTTAATTTGCACACATACCCGCAAGCCCAGAAATGTGTATATAGAAATATGAATAGTCTCGGCTCCTGCCCAACACGACTTCGCCTTGAAATCGTACAAAATCCGAGGAATACGTTTCTTCTAACCGTTCAAAAAGTCGCCCGGCGCCTGACGCATAGGTGACCTAGTTAGAACTAGAAGTGCGAAATGGGAAAGTCCACCTCTGCGTTTTCGTTTTGGGCATTTTTGGACACTCTAATAGAAGTACAAGGCATGTAATGGAGCGTAACACGAAAGCGTAGCCTCTGAGTTTTCGTCGTGGACACGCTAATTGCAGTAAGGCCGTGTAACGCCAAAGTCCACCTCTGAGTCTCCATATTCTCAATCGCCTTCAACACTGTAATATAGAACTAAAGGCATGTAGCACGAAAGACCACCTCCGCATCTTCGTCCTCGACAGTTTAATTCAGAACTAAAGGCACAAAGAGCGAAAGTCGCCTCTGCATCTTCGTTTTGAACACTCTCAGACCCTCATAGAACTACAGGTGCCTAAGGCGAACACAACCCTGACGTCTTCGTCTTGGACACTTCATAAAACTACAGGCGCGTAACCGTTGGTTCCGCACACGTTTGCTGATCAAATAGTTGCCCCGGATTCACACATGTTTGCTGATCAACAATCGTCCCCTGTTTCAACACACGTCTGCTGACCAACTAGTCGTCCTCTGACTCCACATATATACGTTCGCCGATCAACTACCCTCCCTGGCTCCATAAGCGTTCGCAGCTCAACTAATCGTCCCCTGGCTCCACACATGCTTCTGTGTCTGGGGTATCGAGCAGCCCGCTTGCCTGATCTGCTTGGAAGTATGACCATCATTGTCGTCATGGCACCGACCTCAGAAGCTTTCGGTATCGGACGCGCTACCGAAGCCGAGACATGAGCATGTAGAGCCCAGCCTGACCTGGATCGGACACACTGGCGTCCCGGACCTCGCAGCACACCAGCACGCCACAACGAAGCCCCGGGCCAGTTGAGAAGACCTGAAACAAGCCGCACCCAGGCCTTTCCAGCTTTCGATCTCGGGGCCTAGCAAAGGACGGGTTTCCACAGGTTGCAGTTTGAAAGCTGACTGCCGAGGGCTGCGCATCTCATGCTCGGAGGGGGCCGCCATGGTCCTGAGGTAGCATGAACATGAGCTACGAATGCACCGATGCGTTCGAGGCGATGCTGGGCGCTGTCCTGGCCGCGTACAAGCAACGAGCACACGACGGAGAGCAGTAGCTGCCGAGCCGGGAAATTTCGGACGATGCCGCGCGTTTGTGTACTTCCGAACGACATGGAAACTTCTGCCGAAAGGGCTCTCTCTCTGCTCGCTTGTTGGCTTTGCTCCGGAAAGAATATGCCCTTCATGACCCTGCCCCGCACTCACATAGGCCTGGGTTCCGGGAGGGGAGAGGCTGCTTGCCCGGTCTGTAAATCAGTGTCCTCTCGGGGTCGGGCCACTTACTGGCCCACGGCCAGTGCCGAGTCCTCTCGATTTTCGGCTCTCGAGTGGCGAGCAACTGGTCCTTCAATGGGTTGCTGGGGACTCGGCCAAGAGATGTCGGCGATGATCTGGCCAGTCCAGCTTGTACCTTCTTCGCTTTACAGCCGGAACCAAGAGCCACGCGTGCTGGTCCAGGAGATGCTTCTTGTTTGTCGATAGAATGCTTGACCAGATGCTCGCGAGCCCATTCTGTGAAGTGCTTGGCCAAGCGCAGTCGGCTTCCCTCGACACAGCGAGAAAAAGGGTTGAGGCCGCGACTCGGGAACACGTGCAGGAAGATGTCGAACAGATGGCCCCGCGGTCTGTCAGATCCGAGTCCTTTGCCGCTGCAATGGCTTCCGTGCGACTTGTACTTCTGTAAACCGAACCTTGGAAAAGGTGATATACTCCTCCGGCTCAATCACCGCAGCGACTTTCTTGTCTCCAACTTGTGCCTGTTCCAACCAGGATGGAGCACAATGGATTGCTTCGTCAAAACATCCTAAGCCGCGCCTGGCGAGACAAGTGCTTGCAAGGAGCCCCGTCTTTCAACCAGCTCGACAATAAAAAATGTGGACGCACATGCTGCCCACGGCCATGAGAGCCACGCGAAGCCAGGCCATGGAAGGGTCAGCATGGCTGCAAAGCCTGGCCGAGGCAAAAGTAGTTTGCGGACGCAGAAGAATGCTCGGAGTTTGGGGTGAAGAAAATTTTGAATTGGGTTGAGGTTTTCAGAGGGTCTGTGTAATGCGGTGACGGACGTATCAGCTCTGCCGAAGTCCCAAAACAGTGGAAAGCCTGAAACCTCTATCCCTGACATTTAGTCAAATTTGTCAAAACATGCAACATAGCCACAATGCCCAGCATATTCAGCAACTGTACCGCCATCATCCTCATCATCATGATGTAAGAAACTTGCAGACTTTTCGCCAACTAGGCTAAAGCCGCACGTGTAGGGAATGAGCGAGACAGTACCGTCAGATACGACAGCATCTCCTAGTCGACAAAGCAAGAGTAGTACAAGCCGTCTAGTGGTAGTGTTGGTACTGGTACCTGCGCTGGTTGGTGAAGTAGTAGTAGTAGTAGTAGTAGTAGTAGTAGTCGTCGTCGTCGTCGTCTTCGTCGTGGTCGTAGTCGTCGTCGTCGTGGCCGTAGCCGTAGCCGTAGCCGTAGCCGTAGCAGTAGCAGTAGTAGTAGTAGTAGTAGTAGTAGTAGTAGTAGTAGGCGCCCCCCCCTACCAACTACACTTGCTTAAAACCATGTTAAGAGCACATCCGTTTTACTCGGTATTTACGGCACTTTCGGCATGTATGATCATCATAAGAGGCCTCGAAATCCACTTGCCGAGTTTGCTAACTCGGCCTCTTGATTTTGGACTTGCTGCGGGCGGGGGGGTGGGGGGGTGGGGGGGGGGATGATGACGACAGTGTTACGTAAACACAACCAACAATATCA